TTTTATGACATGACAAGCTGAAAGTTTCCCAGATATAATAATAGCAATGATAGTGGTGGTGGATATGGTAGTGGTAATTGCTGACATTAATTGAGATTTTACTATGTTCTAGGCACCATGCTAAGCTCTTTTTACACTTTAGCTCATTTAGTTCTTACAGAGCTGCTGTGTGTTCCATGATTAATTCTAATACAGAGGTGAGAAAGCTGAGGTACGAGGAAATCACACAGGCCTGGAATATAAGCCTGAAAAGGGAAGTCTGTGCTTTTATTTACTAAAATAGAACCTGGTAATCCTTATTAAAATTATTATTTGTTCCAGTTGTACAGGCTCAAAAATAATGCCTCCTTCTTTTTCCAGGTAATGATGTCAGGCATCACCAGGTTCACATAAAAATGACTTATTTTTAAATTTATTTCTAAATTACTCGTGTTCCTGGCCTTCTACTGTCCCATGACCACACTGAGAAAGGGAGCAAATCTTGCTCCATCCTTGGATTCTCATTATCAGTTCTAGTTTCTTGCTAAACATATTCATGGGCCCCCTTATCTTCTTAAGAATATGTGTTGCCTCTTACCCTGACTTCTTAAGGTTCTACTTTGCCCTCGCGGCACTTGAGCCTTTAGTTTACAAACTTAGTAATGTATAAGTAGGCTATTTAGAGGAGACCAATGGGACTGGCTGGATTTGTAACAAAAGAGACAAATGTGACTATAAGAAGTTACAAAGAGGAAGAGGAAACAAACAAGAGACATAAAAGCACCTGTGCAAGCTTAGTCTGTGATTGAGCTAGTGGGACCTTTAAGAGACTAAAACAGGGGCTGGGGATTTAGCTCAGTGGCAAAGCGCCTGCCTGGCAAGCGCAAGGTCATGAGTTCGGTTCCCGGTACTGGAGAAAAACCAAAAAAAAAAAAAAGAAGAAACAACAGAGAGTGCTCTTCTCTCTCACTTTCTCATTCCCTGCATGCGCAAAGAAGAGGCTGTCTAGGTACTCAGTGAGTAGACAGCTTCTTACAAGCCA